GATATATGAAGAGAAGTAAGCAGCCTTGAATATGTTGTGTAGCATTGTCACCTTTGACCCGAAAAAAAAAAACAAAAGAAGAAACTAGGAAAACCCTTTTGTCTAAAAATCTCACTTCTGTACACATTTATTCTTTAGCAATGCCGATCCTCCCACAGCCAACGCGTAAACATTTCAGACTCAAGTCTCTGAAGCTCCTCGGGCACGCTTAAAGGAAAGCTTCAAAACAATCGGTGGAAGTTTAGGGTATTCAGTTGGCACAGGCTTTGAATCCTGTACTGGATCCAGAGCCTTACTCTCAGTTGTTGCTTCATTAAGAAGGAAGCTAGGCTTTGAATCCTCTACTTGATCCAAGGGTTTCCTTGTTCTAGCTTTCTTTGCAAAATTGCTTCTATCTTCTCCTCTTTGATCCAAATCTCCACTCCCATTGCCTGACAAAAGTTGTGCTCTGCTGCACGGTTTAGCCGATTGCTTTTTCTTTGAAGAACTTTCACGCTTTCTCGGTTTAATCGTGCTTTTCATTCTCTTGGTTGTAAGGAAGCCGGATTCAAGAGCTTCCAGAGCCCGGGTGGTCAATGGTCGCTTTCTTGTGCTCTGTCTTCGAGGACCATCAGTATTAATCTGTTGGTCGTGCTGTTGTTGCTCTGATGAACCAAGTTCTTGAGTAGTTCCCAGATCATTGGAAGGAGGACTATTAATGTTTGAGCCTGAAATGGAAGGGAGCTCAACTGCTTGCTCTTGTTTCAGATCATTGGAAGCGGGTTTTTTGTCTGAATCTGACGCTGAACAGAAACCATTTGGTTCTTGATCTGATAAAATGGGTTCAAGCACTGTTCTTATCTCCTCTGGAGAACAGTTGTTGTCCACACCGGAGATGGAATTTAACCCATTTGGTTCAACCTCTGATGTTTCTTGAATCTCAACAAGCGAAGAAGACGGTCTAGTTCCAGCCTTTTTTGATTGATCAGACTTTAAGTTCACATAATCAACCAATAACACAGTTTCATCTCTCTCTTTGTCCTCATTCACCTCTTCACGAGTGCTTTTTTGGTGTTGGACCGCACATAAACTTAAGTGGTCTAATTCTGGACATACTTTCTTTTCCGTGTCATCACCCGGTAAATAATCGAACACAGGACTTTCTCTTGAGCAGCTTTTCTCCCTCCTAATGCAAGCACTGAGCCGTCTGCGTTTCAACGATGGGGTAGAATTCACTGAATGGTAGTTCTTTTCTGCTCGTCGGGTAGACCTATGCCTCTTTGATGGATCCTTAACCTTCTCCAAAATCTCTTCCTCCTTTACAGTAGAATCAAAACCTACATAACCCCTATCTGTGTCATTACCTGGTAAATGTCTCCATCTCCTCAGCCCCGATGATTTTTCACGGTGGTCTAGACTTGTATCAATAATTGTGAATCGCATTGGGTCATCCACTTGGTTCTTGGTATCGAGAGGCATCATTTGGGACTTTTCCACATTCTGATTGTCCAGGGAATTTTTCAGCACGGAAGAATTTTCATCTCCTAGACAAGTCTTTGGCTCAGAAGCTAGAGATTCTGCACTCAGATTCCGTAAATCACACAACTTTCTTCCTCCTGCAGCCAAACTAGTGTCCACAACAGTGAACTTCATTTGTAGAGGTCCACGGTTAGAACATGGAGACTTGAGGTAACGGTGTTTCTGACTATCAGACAGGGAAGACTCTTCATCTGATTGGTCAGAAGAGTTCTCTGCAACAACAAGTTTATTGGAGGCTGCTCCTCTGACCTCTCCTCCTGTTTCAAACTCAAGAAGCTCAGGCTCTGAAGCAACCTTTGTTAGAATGTCACTGACGGAATCAAAGTAATGTTCGCCTTTGACAAGCTTCCCTCTTGAAAACTTTTTCACGCCAGGGACAATGAAAACAATGTTATCCTTCGAGGTAAAATAGCTTCGGTCCTTGGCCTGCTCTGAATGCCATCCTCTGGCTAGCAAACGCGGCCATACAGCTTCCCAGAAGATATCATTGCGACGAGCTTTGCTCAGACGCGAACTGCCAGTTAATTTATCTATTATGTCAACAGGTGTGAGTGAAGTGTAACCTAAGCCCGGGACCGAAGAAGGTTTTGGAGAAACCGTGAACCATGGTTTGGTCTTCATTGGTACTGATGTAACAACCGTGAGATCTTCTTTTTCTTTACCAATCGCCACAGCGTCTACCAGAAGCCTGAGACCCACAAGATCCTTCACCGCCCTTATGTATTTCTCCAGAGTGATACTCCCTTCAGCAAATGACTTTGAGACCTGCAAATGGTAAGATTAGTTACCAAACTATATATACAGTGGTTAAGAATTCAGCCTTAGGATGTGAAAGAGACTCACATTCACGAGCATCTTTTTCTGAGATTCATCGGGAATAGAAGGAATCAAACGGGATAACAACTGCTGCTGCCTCCAACCTGAATAGAGCTTTCTTCCATGTACACATTTCCTGTTCCGCTTCTTGCGGGAATCAGACCAACTGTGGTATTTAGCTGAATTGTAGAACTTCCCATAGTAAAACAACACTATCTCTCCTATCCCTTTGTTCTCCATGAATTTCTTCACCTGAATAAAGTTCTTCCCGAATGTATACAGACCAAGAACAAAGCTAGCCACCTCAAAATCATCCCAACAACTGGACGGTATCGCAGGAACAGCCTCAAGATTCAATCTTTGCTTCTTGGATTCCGAATTCTCTTCACTCTTGCCCCTGATCTTCGCAGAGCAACGGCTTCTTTTCGCTCTTATAGACCTCAAAGATTGGTTCATGTCAACATTATCATCACCATTTCCTTGTTCTTTCTTATGTTTGTCTACCCACATTACTTGGACAGGTAGTCCGACAAGAAAAGAATATAAGGAATCATCCAAAGCTAGAGGAGTCGAAAGAAACACTGCGCGCTTGGATGCAGACATCATTGGAGGAATGTCGACCTGAAACTCGTCTCCAACACGAGGCTCAACTTGTGGATCTCCACATGCAAATTCGACATCAGAGGAATCTTCTTCCATGACTGCTTTTTCTTCCATAAGATTATGTTCCTCATCCATCAGAAGAATCCTTCTAAACCGTAGAGAAACTTGAACGAACTTGTCTGCATAAATCCGCAAAACAACTGGATTTTCAATATTGAATCTCAATCATTAATGCCTAGAAAAAGGTTTGTTTCACTGATTACACTGTTATACAAACCTCAACAACACACAAACCATAAACATCTAATTCATCGAATCATACTGAACATTTGGAATGCAGATACACACTAGATCTGACACTCATTGGCCAAAACTATGAATATGAGATTAAGAAGAAGCAATAACACTACAATTAAAGATCCAACCAAGAAACTCATTTCCCTTAGTATGAACATTGAAATCAACTACCAAAGAATGAACAAAAAAGTAAAAACAAGCCTCAAGCATACACACATTGTCCAGAACAACACAATGGGGTAAAAAGTACAAAGCTTGAATATTTTAGATCACAGTATCAAACTGAAGATTCAGCTACTTCAAGATCGAGAAAGAAATTGAGTACATTCGATTGAATCCAAAACTTGATCATTTGAAACAAACACAGACACGGAAATTCTAAACAAAACCCAGAAAAAAAGGATTTAATCCAAAGTTAGAGACACACGAAGAAGATGAAAAGCTTAGTGTTTTCAGAGACCAATTCCATTGAGACACAAGACCCAGATTCAGAATCAGACCTGATCAAAGCAAAACCCACACGAGCATCGATCCCGAACATGAACAACTTTGTATCATAAGCCATGTAAATTCTCAACGATCTCGTTACGGATTAAACCCAAGACGAACATATGACAATGGTATGCAAGAAAAGCAACATAAAGTCGAAACCTTTACGCAGAGACAAAAACGTGGAAACACAAATTCTCGACAAGTGGGAAGATTCCACATCAATCTATCTCCGATTGTTTGTTTCCTCGATTCTCAAAGCATCAAAACAAAGTAGCGTT